GTTAAAATTAGCAAATGGGTGGCATTGGAGGTCATTTCCCTTTCTTCTTTGTATTTTTTTTCTTTCTTTTCTTCTTTGTCTTTTCTTTTCTGGCCCTTTTTTTCCCCCTTTCTTCCTTCCTCTTCTCTCCTCTGTCTTCCCTGGCCTGTTTCTTTTTTCTTTTTTTTTCCTTCCTTCATCCTTTCTTCTTCTTTCCATTCCCAGGCCGTTTCTGTTTTTCTTTGTTTCCTTCTTCCTATTCTTTCCTTTATCTTTTCTTCTTTCTTCCCTCCTTTTCACCTTCATGCCACTGCAGATCCAACCATCAACTCACCCTCTCTCTCTCTCTCTCTCGTTCCACTAATTAATGTGCTGGTGGTTTAACTGAGTATGTGGTGGCTGGTGATGATGGTTCGATTGACTGATTAGGTGATGGTGATGGTTCGATTGGGTATGTGGTAGCTGGTTATGTGTTTGATGGTGATGGTCTGATGGTTGTGGCATCGTGGTGATGGTGGTATGTTTGATGTTTCGGGTTCGTGTGTTTGATGGTAGAGGTGGTATTCAGCCGGACTCTGTGTTCAAAATAGCATCCTCGCTATTTTGCGAACCAAGTTTTGGGCTTGCTATATTAAACAAGCGAGTCCAACGTTTTTTTTTTCCCATTGGACTATATAATCTCATTTAATTTAATCCCCTCCCTTACCAAATATATGTTTTAAGGACTATTTAATCCAGTCCAATCCAATGAGGCTTAGTGAGGCATGTCAAACATGGCCTTAATGTTAAAATCAAATTAAAAGGAGGATACGACGTCGTTAGGCTCGGGGGTTGGTGAAAAGTTTTTGCCGTGGGGAAAACTGAAGAGGAACTCCTCCATCTCTTTCTTGGTTCTGCGTTCCCCCGCGAATTTGGAAAAAGCGCCATCTCTGCCCGTCTTTGTCGCTTCCTTCCTTCCTCGCTTCAATCTTCACAAGGCGTTGATCCCTCCAAAGCTTTTAGATCAAGATCACTCTCAAATCCCCCACAAACCCATCTGATATCCATGTAAGTTTTGCTCGTTCTTTATTTTTGAATTGCTTGGGTGTTTCAAGCATGATCCTTTATTTTCTTTTACATTAACATGTAGTTGGAATTCAATTTTGTTTCTTGCTTCGATCTGGCTCTGTTTTTCAGTTAAGTTGGCTGTGTCTTGTGTAGTTAATTCTAACTTTCCAGCTTTTATTGCCATGAATAGGAAAGGAAAAAAAAAACCTGCTTTATTTGTTTTCAGTGAAGTAAGCTTTGTGGAAATTTATAAAATGACCCAATTGAATGATGATTATAAGGTTGATGATGGAATTACGTCCCAGGTATTAGTCATTAATAGATAGCTCTGTAGAATGAAAATGTTTGGTCAATATGGTTTGCGAGGTCATTTAACTTTTGCTTTGATTGCTTTTTTCTTTTTTTTATGGACATTATCAGAATGGTTGCGAATGCTTTCCGCCATCCTGTTGGGGTAATTCAGCTCCATGGTTCTGTTGGTGACACCGGTTCTATGAGCAAATGTAGGCAGATGTCTTTCAGATTTATCTCCAAAAATTTTGCGGTTGATGTGGGTTTGCTTAGAAAAGGACAACGTGGTTCTAGACAGTGTAAACTGCAAGTAATTCGTGCATCTACTTCTCAAACTTCAACAACTGATCCAATTTTATCTACCTCGAAAGGTATTACCAACAATTCTCACAAGACAGCAAGTGTGTTTGTTTTGTTCTAGCAAACTAATTATCCTTTTGAGACTCAGGGAATTTTCTGCTAATTTTTGACTCTATATTCTCCCTTTTGTAGCTGAAAGTGCTTTAATACTAATTCGTCATGGTGAATCTTTGTGGAATGAGAAGAACTTGTTCACCGGTTGTGTTGATGTGCCTTTAACCAAGAGAGGTGTAGATGAGGCAATAGAAGCCGGTAAGAGAATTAGCAACATCCCTATAGATATGATTTTCACATCTTCGCTGATTCGTGCACAGATGACAGCTATGCTTGCCATGACCCAACACCGCCGAAAGAAGGTATCTTTGCTCAAATACTGAGATTTTCATGTGTACAAATTTGACTTTAGAGATACTGAAACTTTAATATCAAAGATAGTACTCGTTTAAGTAGATAATTGATTCACTACTCAACACATGTGGAGCGTGTTAAGCATCAAGATATGAATGTATACTAAATCATATTTGTGGAAAGATTTGAATTTGGGACCTAGCCGTACGGTACCACATAACCCAAAGAAAAGGGTCATTGCTCCTCAAATTTAATTATAGAGATAGCGTTAATTATTGATGTTTCCATCCCATTGGTAGTGTTTATGCATAGAACACAGTCAACAGTTGTTTTTGAGAATGGAAAGTATGGCTAAAGGTTTTCAGCAAGATCTTGTAAATTTTGAATTTCATTAATTACATGTGGTGCCCAATTTATATGAAGTCATACGCAAACCCCTTGAGACTTTTGGTCAATGCCATTAGAGATATCTGCCTAATTTTTTTTGGACTTTTTAGAATCCTCTGTTGCCTACATGGTGTAGATAATAAAAAACCACTGAATGCTCATTCTTGAAAATGGTAATTCTGGCCCATCTGGTCGCTTCTCTCTTTTTTCTATACTCTTTATAGTTTTAGCTGCGAAACATATACTTGCCAGGGGCAGTTCCAAAGTCTTGCTTACTATGTTTATGGTCGAACAGGTGGGGTGTACTTCTGATTTTAATGTTAACTGCTACCCAATAATGTAAACAGTGTTACGTGACAGACTTGAAAGAGAGGTTAAACAAGCTGACTTGGACCTAACCATTTAATATCAAGAATTTTAACAGTATGCTAACTTAGATGAATTAGACTGCTATTTCCTAGAGAAATAGATATAAACTGTTATGGAAATCAAATTTACATAAAAGGAAGTTATGTATGTTATGCTTTTCAGGTACCAATCATTACGCATAACGAGAGTAGACAGGCGAAAACATGGAGTCAAATTTACAGTGGAGATACTAAGAAGCAATCGATTCCAGTTGTAACTGCTTGGCAATTGAACGAAAGAATGTACTTTTCTATGTGCTTTATTCTTTTACCTGCACATCGTTTTACATTGAACAAAATTTGAGTAGATAGCATTACTAGCTATTGTCTTCTATAGGTATGGTGAATTACAGGGTCTTAATAAGCTAGAGACAGCTGAAAGATATGGAAAGGAGCAAGTGCATGAGTGGCGTCGGAGTTATGATATTCCTCCCCCAAGCGGCGAGAGCTTGGAAATGTGTTCACAAAGAGCTGTAGCCTACTTTAAAGAACATGTAAGCAGATCAGTTCTTCTATTATCTAATATTCACATGGAATTCCCATTAGAAGCTGAGTGTGTGTTACTATGTTCTTGACTCTTCTTAATGTGTAAGAACCTGACAAGTAGAAATTGCATCGTAGATTGAACCAAAACTACAATCTGGAAAGAACGTGCTGGTTGCTGCCCATGGGAATTCGTTAAGGTCTATAATCATGTATCTTGAGAGATTAACTTCACAGGAGGTAATGAACATACTTTTAAAATTTCTCACCAGCCATGCGGTACTTTATATCAGTGGAAAATAATTCTCAGTACAAACAGGTTATTAGCTTAGAGTTATCAACCGGTGTACCACTGCTTTATATTCATAAGGAGGAAAAGTTTATGAGGAGGGGAAGTCCAGTTGGACCTACAGAACCTGGTGTTTATGCTTATACTAAGGTATTGACTCTCTGCTCGTCTAAGTTGTTGACATCCTCAAACATGCAGCCAATTGTCTGTAACCTTACCTTATACAATCACTCAAAATCTGCGTGTTAGCCCTTGAACACTAGTCTCATTTAAAATTTCAAACTTCTTTAGACAACTTGATCTTAAAACTTAATTGAAAATTCACACTTTTTGCAAACAAGACAGTCTCATCTGAGAGAGACCATTAGAGAATCACGCGGAATGAAAGAACTCGAGTAAGTTCTTGGAGAAGGCCACCTTTTTAAGGAGTAATGCTCTTAGTTGTTTCATAACCAATGTGGGAATGCCGGAACTTAGGCTAGCTTGGAACCTGAGTCCCACATAAAAAATTGAGTGCTGTAGTCTATGTCCATCTGCTCCTCCCAGAGGTGGCAGCGTATAATAGCTCATGGCACTTGCCCCGAGCTGGCTCATCAGCCTGGGTGAGCTTAACTCCATTGAACTTAGAGTGGGGTCAGATATTTATTCAAGCCCATTAGTATGGCTCAGCTTGTGGCACCCTTTGGGCTTGAGAACTATGTGAGTGCACTAATTTGACTTTCAAATGCTCAGACCAGTTTCCTGGTCATGCCAAGACTGATGACATTAGCTCGAGGATAAATAGTACATGTATATTATTTTCTGTTTCACCAGTTTTCTAGACGTTGGTGTATTTGTTGAGTCCTCAATTTCCAAGTTTTTTTTTTTTTTTTTTTTTTTCTCTTTCTGAATTTGGCAGATATTGATTTGTTGGGCTAAAATTAACTTACCCAATGCAAGCTACTTTTTTGTTGCTTAATCCTATTAGTCCAGTGATTCTCTTTTTCTAGTCACCCTTTCCAGATATTTCATTAACTGCTTTCTACACTTTTTGCAAGCAGAGTTTAGCTCTCTACAGGCAAGAATTGGATAAAAAGTCACATTGAACTATATAAAAGCAGGTAATCTCCTTGACGGAACATCTGTACTGAAACATTTTTACTTGTTGAAAGACCTGATCTTAACAAATTGAGTGCTTAGTGTTTTGGTATAGTTATGTCCTATACACAGTATAACTATGTTTAACGTTGGATGTCAACCTTCAACTGGACATGGATTGATTGTGTAGTTCAATGTTCACGAGATGCTTGTTTTCTCAGGGGACAACCTATTTTTACTTGGGGGCTTTTTCTGTTTATGAAACAATTGAAGGACATATGCCTGGAATTCTGCAGCATATGAATACAGCTCTGTGCCGTACAAATTTTTGTTTTTCAATTTGCATATCAGAAGTCACTAATTAAAACAAGGCATTGAATTTCTGTAGTTTCAGTACATTCCTGACGTCAAAAGATATTGGAAAAACAAGAAAAGTCACATCATACTTAACAATGTTGAAACTTGTATTGTATGTTAGAGTGTGGGCATGTGGAAGGATTACAAAGGGCATGGCCATGATTTTGCTGCTATTTCTGAAACTTTAGTTAGATAGTTAGGCGATGGTTGACAATTGAGACAGATGTATTCGAACTGCCTCTTGTGTTTGATTTCCAAAAGTCAGAAAGGAGCTACTTTTTCTTCTTTTCTTTTTTTTTCTAGTTCTAATACCAAAACAAAATGGTAGCTGCCTTTTAATGTAGCTGTAATGTTGAAGTACTAATTTTGGAAGTACTTTTTAGATGCTACTTTCTCGACCGAAAAATTGAAGCATCAATTGAGTCTCAAATTGATTGCTAGAATACCATTGAAAAATATTATGAGTTTACAACTTAACTCTTATGTTGCATGGCCTACTTATATGTGGCTCTGTTTTAGGGATGAGTGTTTTCGAGAAGGTATGTATGTTATGTTGTCACACTTGTAACAGAATCATTGATCGTTCTTGACTAGACAAAATCGTTAGACAAGAAAATCCATTATTTATGTCTAATTGTGTTTCGTACTTTGGTTTCTTGTCTTTTCAGTATCTAAAATAAATAAACACTATCATGTCAAATCTCTATAAAATCCATTATTTGAAAGCTATTATATGGATGAGCTCTTTCAGTCTGAAGGGGACAGATTGACCTTGAATTTTAACTGCATTTAGGTCTACAAAAGTGGGTGGATTAAGTGCAGGATGTGTTGACAAAAAGACGTATCATATGAATAAGACGAAGCCAAAGCTTAAAGCTTAATTAGTGCATGCATTTGTCTTAAGAAGTTTGGAATTGACCGTAATGTGCACCTCAATTATTAATTAATTTCGAGCCATAGTTCCTCTCGGCCACGTTTGGTACCTCACGTTTATGTGGATAATACGGAGGCTGACCTTCAAAATTTGTCTAAGTTGAAGGTAGAATATGGATTAGTCATGACGAAAACTTATTTCAATCCCCACAAAAATAGTATGAAATCAACACCTTATAATTTATTCCTTCTTATCCCTACAAGTGAAAAATCCTTATGCTCTACATACTTCAATTTACTTTGAATCTTGTGAGTTTTCCATTCCAATCCAATTTTATGCACCAAATATGGCCATCGTGTATAGCTAATTAGTAAATCGAGCTACTGATGTTTGGAGGGAAGAACTCGTCTTTAATTCGAATTGGAATGATGTTTCTTAAATCTTGCATGTAACCAACTTGTATGTTACTTGAAGTTATCTTTAATTATGCATACTAAAGTGCAAATCTAACATAGGTTAGAAACCAAGTGGGGTGTCTATTAGATAATAGTAACGTGCGGACATCTGCATAAGAGAAATTCTATATATATAAAATGACTGAAACTTGATTTTAATTGTTCACATAAAAAGTATAGAATATATATAATATTGTAATATTCAAAAAAGAAAACAGTGTAGATAAATGAATTGGGATGAAATGACAACGACAATGTGTTGTGTCACTGAGACTAACGGTTTCTCCTCTTTACCGTCCTAAATTCTCCGAAAGCTTTGGCGCCAAAATCTCATCCTTCCAAACAGAACACATAAGGAAGAAGAAAATCATTAATCACATCAAACAAACCCAGCAAAAGCCAAAAAAAGAAAATTACAGCCACATTATTCAAGAAAACCTCAAAACCCAGAAAAGAATTCAGCAATTTAATTTCAGAAATTATTAAATAATTACAAAAAACACACTCGCTCAAAGTGTGTGACACAATGAATTGATGCATATATCATATATATATAAGAATATATATCAATGAATGAATGTCTTCCTCTTGTGGAGATGCCAACGTCGAAATGACCAAAGACGACACCGACATCACGCATGATAACTCTGCCAAGAATGACAAGAAAAAGAAGGTATTTTATTTATTAATTGTTTTTTTTTTCTTTCTAGTTTTCATTTTCTTTTATTTATTTATTTTGTTTTTGTATGAAGTCTATCATTCCTAGGCTTTTTGGTGTAAAGAGAACAGGACGCGAAGGCTCAGACGAAGACATATTCAAATCAGATGGGGATGGCAATGATTATCATCTAGGTATCTCTCATCTCTCATACATAAATATATATATATATACATATGCCTTCTTTTTTATTATATTTTAAATAGTTTTTAATTAA